ACTGTTACCATTTCTTTTTGCTTTTCATCAGAAACGTCATCTATAATATTATAATAATTAAAAAAAGTATATGAGAAAATGAAAACCATTCATTTGTAAGCCTGTCGGGAGAATCGTATGCAAGAAGAATATGCGCCAAGCACGATCAAGGAATAGTCGATTTCGCTTTTCCTTCTTTGGCGCTAAACAATTCTACCCCCATCTCGCATTCGTTCGGAACGTTGAGTTGATAACTCAGTTAAGAGACAAAAAATATTAGGATTGCCAGTAAACTTATTAACAAATGATGCAGTTTTACTGAATATATAAAAGTATCCATAAAAACCAAACTTTGTGTGTTTCACCCCTCAGCTGTAAACGCAGATAGAACATTGTATAATAAATCGCATTTTCAGGAATTTAGCAGCGCAAGAACAGGTTGAAAATTTTTTTGAAACCTGACAAACCCGTATCAGAATTTTGTCGTGAAAAATGTGTCACTGGCGTTGTACTACTCGCGATGCTATTGGTACTGCACGCATCGTCACCAATCGGTGATTCTCGATATTCCAGTGAATCGACATCCGAATATTCCGTCTAAACTGTTGGACTTATAACAATTAGTTCCCTTAATTGAACAAAGGGGAGAAAGTTAAGGGATAACGATTCACGATCTAAATGACTTGCGGACAATAAAAATGAGAGGTTCAGCTCCTAATCTATATATCAAGTAAAAGAGCGTTTCGTTCATGAAATTCCTAGTAGCTACACCTCTGAAAAGTAAGAAACTCGCGTCCAGAGTCCTAAGGACTCTGCTTAAAATGAAATAACAACTAAAAAGAGTTTTCTACCAGCTACACGTTGAACTATTAATTCTGTATATTTCAGCCAAAAAAAAACCTGCTGATCCTCTGGGTCTTCATCTTCTTCATCGATTGAGAATAAACGTGGAGCACTCTTCGAGCGACTTACGGGAGGACGAAAATTCAGCGAACCCGTTTGTAATAACAGCTTCCTGAAATAGAAAAAAGCAATGAAAAAAATCAGTTTTCTGCTTTGAGATCAATCTAATTCACGTGTGAAGCATACTTGCCTAGATGCCTGAGTCTCTGTTAATTTACAGTCCGATTCTCCATCTATGCAGTTGGAAACTTTTTCAGTAGCTCTGACCAACGCTACATCGTCTATCGGTCAGTGCATAAAGCAAAATGCATTGTCGGTGATATGCATTTCTTCGAGAACGGGACATTCTTATTTTACGAGTAATGTTCGGGATGTTCACATTTTTTTTGTGAGAGCTCATTAGTCGAGCTAAAGTTGAAGACTCATTTCCAAAAAGAAGTTACTTCAGTCAGCTTTGCTTCATCCAAAATGAACTATTTGTCAAAACTAAATTTTCAGCCTAAACTGTAGCTGAAAAAATGTTTCCGCTCGAAGAACACTTTCACAGCCCTCGAAATCTAGTAAAAAAAAGGAGGAACAATTCGAAAGGACGGGGTAAGGCAAAAAGAGGGAAGGGGGACGGAGGACCAGAAGATGCGGGGAAAGAAGGGCGGACGGACAGTAGCTGCTCATTCTTTGTCTTTCAGCTGATGTGCTTTATGCGTCATCCGCAGGCTCAAAAGTTAAGATTCGAGAGCGGCAAAAACATTGAGCGAAGTGTATAAGTAAAGGAATACCTCTTGGGTCCAGTAAAAGTTTGGCCAACAGCCTGGGCATTAAGCCTAGCGTTTTGTCGGCAGAGCTTCTCGCGCCGATACTCCTGAATTAAATTAGTAGTAATTTATGAATGAAGAATGAAAAGAATTCCTTTTGCCATTGACTGCTTTGCCAGCGAGTGGTTGCTGCTGGGATTTGTTACCACTCGGTCAACTTCGTGAGTATCTCGGCTTCTTACCCGTGAACGAATCAGAGAGGGTTTTGACCTTTTGACATTGATTTATCCCAGAACTTAGAAGTGAAATTGAATTTAAAAATCGTTAACTAAAAAATTTGTAATATTCTGCATAGTGATTTTAAGTTTTAGTAATCGGCCGTTCGGGCAGCCCTCTAAGAGGTGTCCCACAAAACAGATAATTGCTCCCACACGAAGACACAGTTCTGGATCAAAGGGCCTAGCATAGCCGCACCTGGCTTGTAGATGTATTCCAGTAATATCACTAATATGGGGTTCCAAACTGACTGTTCAGGTGGACTGGTGTTCTTGAAACGAAAAAGTACCTGAAGAGCAGCTCGCAAGTACTGACCAAGTGTTGTGGATATTTTTTCAGGATCCGCCGGCTTCTTACACAACACGGCGTGGCACCTAAATTCAAGTTTTCCATTATTTTTTTTTTTTTCAACACACTAAAAAGGTTAAAGAACTGTATAACTTGTTTCTTTATTGAAAGAAGGAATTGGTGAGTGTATGTTTTTGACAAGGCACTATTCTTCACATCGTTCTTCAACTCCTATATTTTTCCTAACTGTAACAGTTTGAGTTTTTTTGCAAAAACTTGCAGTGCTGTATCTATTCAAAGGTTAAGTTTTCTTTGCAAAAAATATGAGAGGGCGAAGTTTTTATTCAAAAAAAACAAGAAATTCCAGGTCCAAAAAATGAAAAATTTTCATGCCTAATATCTTATTTCGTTTCGTAAAATAAGGGGAATTTGGCACTCTTAAAGAGAAAAAGAAGCGGTACCTCAATTCAGGTTTCATTCGTTTCCCCTCATGCTTGTACACCCAACAAAATACACGTGGCAGCGTTGGTGGTGCAAGACAATATGTGATTCGATGCGACCAGTATTCGGTAATGCCTTGCTGCTTCGTTTCCGCCTAAAGCTTTCTTAATTTTGTTATTTTTTCTTAATTTCATACTTCAAAAAAAGTCATTTTTAGAGAAAAATGTTAATGGATTCGTTTTAAAGATAAAGTTCGGGATGATTCATTGCAGTCAAGAGAGATAAAAGATCCGTTTTATCAGCAACAAGATCAGCATGACCGGCCGTTTTGCTGACGTAAGCCTTGTCACGTTAATGAGATGCACTTTTTTTTTACTTCGTTGATGGCGATGTTCAGGATTCTTTTTTTTTTTTTAGAAAAGAAGGCTTTGGCTTTTCATATATTTTGTGGTATAAAAATGACGCAATATAAAAACAGGACTCGGAGGAGAAAATTATTGCTGGCTTGGACTTTGTGCACATTTTCTAATCTAGGGTCACTTTGATTTGGATTCAAGAGAATTTACTGATTTCGTAGTATTTATAATTTTGATTAAAACTAACCGATAACCTAGCATTTTGTATTAGATTTTACTAACACTAGAACTAGTATCTTAAAACGTCGTCCAAAATTAGCAAAAAAAAACAAATTCCAACGATTTTTAGTAAATAAACTGTAAAAAATGTGAAATAACCTCTCTAGAGAGCTATCCTTGCCCATTCCGTGTTGTACTTTGTAATGCTATTAGCAGTCTTGTCACATGGCCTCTCCTTCATTAACAGTGTAATTCCGTACCCAAATGCTCTTTTTCCTACCCAAATGCTTGCTATTTACGCTTATACATTCCTTCCTGATGAATAAGTATAACAGGGATATCAAGGATGCCTGTTAATCAGAGTGGGTATCGCCCCTTTTAGCAGTTCTCCTAGAATGTTTTTACACGCCGGGCGCAGCTGTTTTAGGCCTTTTTTCCTTGGGCTGCATGCTTCCAGATAGTGCCCACCGTCGTCAAAGCGTTGCATATAATTACAAAACTTATTAATTAGTCTTTCTGAATAATCTTCAAATGAAATCTGCTACCGTTAGCTTTACGATTGGCATTTACTATTGCTTTGGTTACTTCCGAATGTCTCTTGTTCTAGGGAAAGGACTTTTGTCTATTACCAAATCTAAGTACATCAATTTTTAAGAAAGTCTGCTTACCTTGAGCCCGGATCTTGTCACAGTAAGTTTCATTGGTAGGTCAGCACGTTGCCTGCTACAAAATGTTCGCCAAATGAGCAATAGCGGTTTTTCTACACATTCTTCGCCTGGAAATAAAAAAAGTGCAGTAGGTTAGCAGTTTCTTAAAAATTCTGTCCACAGACATTATATTATTCGTTAATTCCATTGCAGGGATGTTTCATATAAGAAGCTGTACTGATGATTCTCACTCCTACATTCACGCTCTCTTTATTTGTTTTACAGCTAAGGGATGAAACACTGTTTGCTCTCTGTTATGCTTAACGATATGGTATTTAGATTCATTTGTCTCTGATCAGGGATAGTGGAAGCCTGGACATATTCTATTCAACACGTGTTACCCTTCAGCATCTCAAAATTCACATAATTTTGATGTCGCTTTTTATTTCGTCTACTGAATGGTAGGCTCTGGACCGATTTCGGGACACCTGTCCTTTTCTCAACAGAAAACAAATGTTATCAATACTCTTTTAGAAAAGTTCCATAGCATTTGCATTAAATGTCATTTTGCGTCATAACCGCAGTCACGAGCGCACATCCTGAGAAAAACCGGCTCTGAAAGTTTTTGTGCGTTTAAACGATTCGCTGTTTCGCTACTATCGCCCCAGTTATTTGTGAAGCTCCCAATCAAACAGAATCTTAGCAAGGATTTTACCAAAGCTACCAAGACTGGAGAGCCTGGACAATTGGTTTTTTTAATGATTTTACTAAGAAAAAATCATTGCCGATATCCCATGTTGGTGGTGTTGCTGGATGCTCCCATATGCTGGATGAAGCTCGAAAATCGTAGAATAGTGCCATTTTCAGGATGCTATCTTGCATGTTATTAAGAGAGAATGCAAGAAATATTTGGAAATTTAGAAATAACGAAGTTGTGAACTGAGAGCTTATTTTTTGAACTTTCCCAATTACACAACTGGCGGTTCGCTAGCAAAACGCTAACCGTTAGCCAATGCAGCACTGACTAAAGAAAATAGAAAAACTGCTAGCCATGTATTGGAAAACCAGACTATGAATTATAGCTGATCCATGTATACCAATTATTAATGACGGTTATGCAACGGTCATTCAAATATACAAAACTGCATTCTAATGGTGCCCGCAAAATCCGTTCATTATACCTAAAAGTTGACGTGACTACACACGTGATATGGGCGCACACGAACGCTCATTTTGTGCCTACGAAGTAGCACGTAAACAGAAAATACTTTCATGAAATCAGAAGAACCTACTCAGCCTGGTTCCCGAGCCGACATTTTGCCAGCTTTACGGTATCGCAATTTTAACATGCCTGTACACATGATGCAATGCGTACGTGCATTCAAGCTGAATTTGAAATCTTTAGCTCACATAAGGGCAAGGAGTAATTGTGAAGAATCAAATTCCTCTACTGTCTGGTCTTCAAAATTCTTCTTCTGCCAAAAATTTTATATAATTTTTAAGGCGTCCGTACGTGAAAGCCAGGTTTCGTGAATGATG